CGAGACTTTGGTACTCGAGACCGAGACTAAGTCACGGTCTCGTCTCGAGATGTCGAGACGAGACGAGACCAACCCTAAGTCTCGTCTAGTCTCGTCTCGCGGCACCACTAGAAATTTTGCATGCTTTCAGCTTTTTTCAAATGGAGATGCCCTATATTTGGTTCTATATTCTTGAAGAGCACAATTTCTTGATTCCAAAACTATATGGTTTGTCTGTATTTGGTTGAGCCGTCTCCAACATATTTGGTTCTAAAAATTTTTAAAATACTATCAGAGAAACCAAGGACCTCAAATTTTATCTGCAGCTTTCACCTGTACAGGTAGAATGGTTTACAAAATCAGTAGTAATATAATTTTCAACACTGTGTTTTGTGTGGTGACCTGTCATTCAGAAGGTGGCGTTCTATCATTGAAAAGTTGAATCGTTCAGCAGAACCAAGAGTTTACCCAACATATTCTGTTGGTATTTGTAAACCGTTTACAATCCGTTTTGGTTCTGGTGAACGTAGCCATTGACAAATTATATTCACCATTCACAGATGACATTTGCTTGTGGCTTTGTATACTAGCGCCGCATAGCTTTGGCAGTCATGAAGCTCCACACGTGTTATTTTCGAGACAGCTCCGAACGAACATTTTACATGGAAGTTTCCTATCTTTAGGACGGGTTAATCTGTGTTCCTGACATTCAAATTTTGTTTTTGACCATGGTTTCCAAAAATTTAGCCAAAACTATACAACACCCTGTACACACTAAAAAGGAATTCAAATTAATAAATGATTTTTTTTAAATTGTATTGAAAGCTGAAAATACTTGTAATATCTCTCAAAAAGTACTTCAGAGATTCCAGATTTCAAGATTCCAGTTGCAGATTGTTACTTTCAATTTAACGATTTAAAATTTATCTAGGAAAGGTTGATTAAGAAATAAAGTGCAGTGGGATTGTTTTAAGATACCGATTTATTAAAAGAAAATAAACTTTTACAAAAAATAATATTTAAAAACTCAAACTACACTTCGCATTGATGCCGAAATACTTATTAGAACATGTTAATTTCACATTTTGTGAAGTATGTATTTGAATTATTTTTTTTGTAAATCCAAGTACTAAATACAAATACTTTATTTAAAGTACGTACCTATTTGCAGAATCAAGTACAAATATCCAAAAACAAAAGTATTTGAATTAGGTATAGCTAGTACTTATTCAAATACTAAAAAGTAATTCAAATACATTTTCCAGGTAATTTACTTGAAGTACTAACAGCTCTGAATAGACAGAACCGGAAAATAAAGATTCTAGTAAGTTTTTCAATTTTCATCATTTTCCTTTTATCCCATCAATTTCCTTTTATCCTCATTTCAGGCTCTTTTGGATTTTCTTTTAATAATAGTATAGACAAAGAGTGACTTATATTGTTATTAATTAAAACAGTTATTTATTAGTTCAGGATTGTTTGATGCTAATAAATCACGCATAACGTGCTAACAAAACATCATCTCCATAAAAAGATCAAAAATAAAATATCTCTATTTTTATCCAATATTGTTTGTAATAAATTAAAACATCTAATTAACATATATGTTTTGACGATTTGTTTGTTTTCAAGATGAAACTAGGCTGAATAAATAAATGCATTTTGTAATTTTACTATGCATCGATCGTCCTAGGCAGATAATTAAATTTTAACGCCAGTATATAGGTAAATCCTTTCGTAACCTTTGCAATTTTCTAATATCGGTAAGTATGTTGCGTGTCCGGCCTTCTCGCCCTTAAAATAGATTGCCCATAGGGTAAGGTCACTGGTGTTTGTTTGTGCTGCTTTTTTCTTGAATTTTAATGGTAGATATAAATAAAATCAAATTTAAAAGGGATGGGAAACTTTAGAATCTCTCTAGAAACAATACAATTTAATGGTATATGGATGGATGCTTCTTTGCTTGAAACACTAATGAATTAATCCATTTAAAGGCTATTTCTAGTTTTCAAAAGGTCAATCGTTGATCCTATTAAAATGTAAAAGGATTATAAATAAGCAGAATCCATTTCAAATAGATTTTGTTTCAATTATTCTGTCAAGTTATTATAAATAAAGAAAACTTAGAAAAGCTTGGGAACAGAAATATAGGCAATAAATTATGTTGTCATACTTACATAAAGATACTGTTAATGATTTTTTGATTGGATTTACAAATTAACAAAGATTAGCACTATATAATAATTATCTTTGCTAATCTTTGTCGTTGATTGTTACTAAATCAATATTATTGCAATAAGGTGCGACAAAAATCAATCAATTGCATTTTTGTTCTGATAAGTTAATCCACTATCTCGTAACATCTGATTCATAGAAAATGTATTTGGTATTAGAAACTTCATTGTTAGAAACCTATAGAATTTGAAAAAAACAGTGAATTATTGGAATATATTTAAAAGGATGATTTTGTCCTCCAAATATAATATGAAACAGGAAACTGGGTTGGTATCAGAGCTGTCAAAGATACCTACTTTTAGAAAGTATTTAGTTACAAGATAAGTTACTTTTGGCGTTGTTGAGTTTATTTGGTCCACAGGTTTCAGACTCAATTCCAAAAACAAGAATTTTTAAAGTTTAAAATCCCAAATTCGGGAATATAAGGTTCAAAATCGCAGGACATAGAAAGTTATCACAGTTACAATCACAAATCATAGTTAAATTTTTATAGAATATTATGCATAATTCGCGGCGTGAACTTTTAAAGTACAGAATCGTCAATCAACTCTTTTGATTAATGAGTGTACACTCACTTGCAAAGCCGGTATGGCTGAGTACAAATGGATAAATACATAAAACGTAAGCTTGATGTTGTTTGAAGTTTGAACCAGTTTTATTTTGTTGGGTCGGGTTTGGGTAAACGTCTTAAGAAATTTTTTTCACTGTAGGTACTTAACTAATACTTTTCGTTAATTTAGATTATACTTTTCACTACTTTTCAGTATCTACCTACTTTTAAGTATCTGAAATACTTTTTGGTATTCAAGATACTTTTTTAAGATACAAGTTACAGATCCTTTTGAAAAGTAACTAAGATACTAGATACTTTTGCCAAAAAATAAAAAGTATTTAAGATACAGTAGCTTAGATACTATAAAGTAACTAAGATACTTTTTTCTGACAGCTCTGGTTAGTATACACAAAGACCAACTCATACAAAACTAGCTCATTCCTACCATAGTGCCAAACATCAATCCAAAATCCAGGATTATTCAAATTTTTCTTATCTTTAACGAAATAAAAATCTTAAGAAAAAATACTCAACTAATATGTATTAATCAGACAATTCTTAGATAGAAATGTAAAAATCAGAAAAAAACTTTTCTCAAGATAACTACAACTAGTGAATAAATAATTGTAAAACCAAATTAAAATCTGTTCAATTTTGAAGCTTCCCAGGTGCAAAACTGTTGGAATTGATTGGTTTGTAGATAATTTAATTGGCTTTGATTCCAGCTCAATTACGTTGAAATTGGATGAACATTAGAGGAGCTGTGAGCCAAAAACTGTCTCAATGTCATTTTTAGATAACTTCCAATGTTCCATAAATTCAATTTTGAAGCTTTTCAGTTGCAAAACTGTTGAAACTAAATCAAAATCTTGATCAATAGGTTTGTAGAAAGTTTAATTGACTTCAATTGGAGCCTCATCACAATAAAATCGGATGACGATAAGTTCAGTTTTGAAGCTTTTCAGGTGTAAAATTGTTAAAACTTGATTAAAATATTAATTAATAGGTTTAAAGAGAATTCAATTGACTTTAATCAGAGCTTAAACATACTGAAATCGGTTGAAAATTAACGTAGTTGTGAGGCAAGCACTGTTTCAAGCTTCGTTTCAAGGTTATTTCAAAAAGTTGGCAAATAAATTAGTAAAATGCAGTATACAAAATGGGTTTTTGATTTGAAGCTATTGAAGAATTTCAAGGCCTCAAAGTGTTTTCAAATTTATGATTTAACACTCACGACAAGACGTTGGAAGTCTTATTCCAAATAGAAATGTCTTATTTTGGATATCTTTTTTAAAAAGATGTTTGTGGGTAGGTAATCTTACTTAACACCCATTTTTAACCTTGGCTGAATACTGACACTAATTTATTTTAGACGTCTTCAAGAATTTTTAGAAGATGTCTGTAGGTAGTTTTACCTATGACTTATTTTGTCTTGATGATTTCAAACATTGGGCGACTAGGATCATCTTAAACATTTCAAAAACATGTCTGTAAATAATCTCAAATAAAACCAACTTTGAACATTGTCATTGACTAAATAGGTACGTTTTCAAGACGTCCACGTCAGATTTTAAGTTTCGAGAATGTTGAAAAGTCATCTGAATGTTAGTCTTATTAAATATTGACGTCACATTTCAGACGTCTGTAGTTAAAAGACCAATTTAATACGTTTAAATATCGATGTTTTTGAGACATAATCTTTTAGGTTGTTAAAAGACGTAGAAGGGACACCAGTTTTGACTGACAATACAATACAATGTCCAAAAGAAACACAAGAATTTTGTCTGACAATAACATATGTAAGGCTTTGAAGTTCCAAAGTGGATGTCCATGTGACGAATCAAGAAATTAACGTTCCTGTCAGCCCAATGACCAAAAAAAAAACTTCATTTTACTATTTGAACATTGATTTGAACTATATCCATAACACAATTGGAAATACATATTAAACAAAAAAAATACTGAAATAAGTGATCTCACTATCATCCAAATAAAGCTTAATTAAATTTCCTATTTAAAAATGCAATACACTACATAACAAAGGAAAAAAATTAACAAAATAGCGACACGGTGTAGAAGCACAACACAACAATGAACCTCTTCCATATCAATCAGTTGACATCTTTTTTTTTTACCGACATGCAACAAATATACAGTTGTTTCTGGTATGTTGGTTTAAAATAGAAATAATAAAAAACAACTAATGAAAGTGAACTGATAGAAAATAACTTACCTAAAAGTTCTTTTTGTTCTAGCTTTAGTTTGAGTTCTTCGATTGTGCTGTTTCTTATGAAAGGTTGATCGATAATCAGATCCTGTAAAGAAAAAAAAGAAGTAGGTATTGTAATAATTACGATTGTAATCCTTCATCTAATAAAAATCTATCATTTTTCAAGGCATATAAGTCTATGATGACTGGAGACTTAATTGGGATATTGAAGAAACTAGACATAAATGATTATTATTACTTTTGTTGCTCCATATTCACAAATAGCAAATTCACTGTTATCAACACTTTCAACTTCAAAAACATGATCTTCAGTAGTTGGAACTTCGCTTTTTCCAATTTCAGCTGTCTCTATATGATCATTAACAATTGAAATTTCTTCCGGATTTTCCATTGTGCGCTATCCGTATTGTTGACACTAAAATTGTAATGGTGCGAAAAGCGTGACTGTTATCTTTGTACTGATAAGATCTTCAACATGACAAAAATATCAAACGAGGATTTTATTCTAATTAAGAGGTGAATTATTATGAGGCAAACAGATGCTGCATTGGAATCTTCAAATTTAATAAAACCTCGTTATCTAATACCCTATATGATAAAACAAGGCAAAAATTAATAACCAAACTTGTAATATATGGCTCAGATAATGAGGATTTATGTGTTGTTCCCTGGAAAATGGAAATTGAGGAATGCTTGGGAAATACGTCACATTGATAAATACAATGAAATTTTTAATATAGCTTAACGATGCATAATTACAAAGACTTGAGTTCAATATGAATAAAATGCCCCTATAATCAGTAGTAAATTTAGTTCATCCGTTCATTAGGGACCCTCACTCATATTGATGACAATATCATCTAAATTATTAGTATAATATGAAGTCTGTATTAGATTTAATTGAATTTTAGAATGCGTTGCAAATATGATTGTATATGGACTCATAAGCTAAATTTTCAACTGAACTAACTAATCAATTAAACATTAAAATAATTATTCATATCCAATTAAAGTGCAAACGCCCTTGAACAAGTTTTATTTTTAAATTCTCAACTGGATCAAATGAATTCATAAGTTGTCTGCTTGACTAATAAATTGATTGAGTAAAAGTTACTAAATAAAAATTTTCTTTCAAGTTTTTCATACAATATTATTGAAAGTCTATAAATTTTCTCGTGGCAACATATGCCGTTTTATCTCTTTTTAAATAATTTATTGTTTTTAACAAATTTGAATACCGTTATTTATTTATTATATGTTGATTTGAAAGTAACAAAACAACAGGACATGCATTATAGGTACATATATTGAAGATTAATATTGTTTCGTTTGTGAAAGTTTTGATATTATTGTTTTAATTTGAAATTGATATGCATAATGTTTTTGATAACAATATTTATCAATTTTTGTCTATTCTTGGCTCTTGAAATTGTGGAAATAAAGAAAATTCAAGAGCCTGGAATAGAAAAAACATTAATTTCCACTTATCTTCCAATTTGCAAAAGATTTTGTCCCAGTACTTTAACAGTGGCGGATAGGTACAGTGGGGGCAGGGGGAGCATTTGAAAAAAACTGGAAGCATGCAAAATTTTACATTTTTGATATTCAAATTTTGTTTCTGACCATGGTTTCTAAAAATTCAGCCAAAACTGTACAACTTTCTTCTAGGCTGTAAAGTGAGGTGTCAATATATAAAAAAACACCCTTGACTAATCGTAGATCTTCATTGGGGCTCCAAGAAAGGCAATTTTAGTAAGAAATGTATTTTCAGTTAAAATTCTAGATTTTTAAGATTCTCCATTCCAAAAGTCCAGGTTCAAAAAAGACCTGGGTGAACTGCTGTGGATTGAAAAATGGTCAAAAATCTTTCTTCTACCTGTGAAGGTAAAAGCCGTAGGTGGGATGTCAATATACAAAAAAAAAACGCCCTGTACAAATAAGAGGATTATTGTGGAACTTATGGGTGGACTCGCTGCGCTCATTCCGCAGCTATCTACTCACCAATATACTGTTGAACTGTTCAAATAAGACACTCACCTGAAACGTATAGTTTTTGAACTAATGAGAAAAATTCACAACTGAGTGAATCAAGTTAGTATTGTATTTGAACAACATATTGATAAATAGATAACTAGGTCCACCCATAAGTTTCGCAACAATCTACTCGTTTATACTTGAATTACTTGTCACAATACCTATATTACTATTTCGTTTGGTAAAGTAACATTTCTAATTCCTGTTCAAAGGCGAATTGACAAAAAGTAGATAATCTATAAATTCTGACTTTATATAATAAGTTATTCTTCAAATACAAAATATTAGATATAACTTTAGTCAGCTCCAGTATTAGAGACCTCATCAAAAACTGGAAAGTATCAACCCTACCATCCCTGTGTCAGATCACAGGATAATTGAGTTGAACCTAGATAATGTAAAATACAATAGACCCATACGAAGGGTTCCGAGAAAAACCAATTGGGAAGCCTACAAAACCAATTTGCAGAACAACCTTTACTGCTTAAGTTCAGGTTGGAAAAGACACCACATGGACCTGGAGCAGAACACTAAGGAAGTCACAAAGGCAATTATGGAAGCCTTTGAATCCAGTTGTCCAGTGACTACAGCAAGATCCAAAAAAGATGCACCATGGTGGAACAGACACCTGTCAAAACTGAGATTTCAAGTCCGTCATCTTTTCAATACAGCAAAAAGTGACGGAAATTGGCAGGGATACGCAAAAGTGCTTAATTACTCTGTATAACAAAGAGCCAAAAGGCAACATTTCAGAACCTTTTGTGAGGAAATTGCTGACACTCCAACTGCTGCAAGGCTACATAAGGCCATGGCCAAAGGAGGAACAAATCCAGTGATGGCCCTCAAAAAGCTGGACGGCACCTACACGAAAGGAGAAGAGGAGCAGGCCATCCTATTACTTAAACCGAAGAAGGAGGACTGGGAAGCTGCAAAGAGGGTTTTTACTACGGAACGGATGAAATGGGCAATAAGTACCTTCCAACCGTTCAAGTCACCAGGAGTGGAAGGAATATTTCCTGTCCCTTTACAAAAAGGGCAAAAGGAAATATTCCCTCACCTACTTAGAATAGCTAGGACTACACCTTCTCCAATTGTAATTCAGAAACAGTTACATGTATTTCAGAAACCGTCAAATGTAATTGAGAATAGTAAAATGTTATTCAGAATGCGTTAATTGTAATTAAGAATAGTTAAATGTAATTGAGAAAGCGTCAAATGTAATTGAGAAAAGTCAAATGTTATTGAGAATGCGTTAATTGTAATTGAGAATAGTCAAATGTAATTGAGAAACCGTCAGATGTAATTGAGAATAGCTAAATGTAATTGCGAATGCGTTAATTGTTTTTCAGAAAGCATCAAATGAGATTCAGAATAGATCAAATGAAATTGAGATCATGCAAGATTCGAAACTGTATAGTGTGTAAGTATTCGCAATTCGTGATTCGCACCTATAGGAACTACGCTTTAGACAAATCATTCAGTGAAAGAAATGTCTGGGTCAGGCGCCACAATTTTAAGGCTACCTCCTTATTCGCCAATGCTGAATCGAATCGCATCGAGAACATTTTGTCCAAAGTAAAAACTTATGTTAAACGTTATTTACGAGTACCAGAAGTGAACGGGCCTGGAGTTGCGCAACATTCGACGACGTTCTATGAGGTGGCTTTAGCTATGGAACCAATGCTTGTTGGACGATAGTTTTGAGAACTGTTTGTTCTTTAATTAAGATTTTATGTAACTTTCATTTCAATAATAAAGGTTCTGATATTATTAACTATTATTCAACCAAAATGTTTTACAGTTTCCGATATCCCCACAAATTCTCACGAATTTGTGACACCTTGTATGTATATGAAATTTTCGCATTCTCATTATCTCAATTTCATTTGACCTATTCTGAATTTCATTTGATGCTTTCTGAATTACATTTAACGTTTTCTCAGTAACATTTGACGGTTTCTCAATTACATTTGACTATTCTCATAATTACAGTTGACGAATTTTGAATAACATTTAACTATTCTCAATTACATGTAACGCTTTCTTAATTACATTTGACTATTCTCAATTACAAGTGACGGTTTCTGAATTACAATTGGAAAAGGTGTAGTTTAGCCTCGGGATATATACCGAGTATCTGGCGACGAGCTAAAGTAACCTTCATACCCAAAATAGGAAAAAAGGATGGGACAAACCCTAAATTTTTTCGACCTATTAGTCTTACGTCCTTTGTACTAAAGACGATAGAAAAAGCTGTAGATAACTACATCAGAAAGGAAATTTTGGAGAAGGCACCTCTACACTCGTGCCAACATGCATACAGAGCAGGCAGATCGACAGAGACAGCGCTCTATCAACTTACAGAAATCATCCAAAAAACCCTTAAGGAAAAAGAAACAGCCATATATGCCTTTCTGGATATATCCGGGGCTTTTGATAACACGTCCCATGGGGTGGTAAAAATTGCTCTGGAGAGGAGAGGAGTGAATAAAACCATAGTCCGGTGGGTCTGTGAAATGCTGACTACGAGAACAGCTGAGACAATTGTGGGTGAACAAACCACAAGCATCAGAACCACTCGTGGTACACCTCAAGGGGGAGTAACCTCACCCCTGTTGTGGAGCCTGGTAGTTGATGAACTCCTGTCCAAACTGACAAATCAGGGTCTAATTTGTATAGGTTACGCCGATGATATTGTCATTATTGCCAAAGGCAAGTTTGAGGGCACACTATACGACCTCATACAAAAAGGCCTAAGTACTACCGAAGAATGGTGCACATCGGTGGGGCTGAGCATCAACTCAGCAAAAACCACTATTGTACCATATTGAAATTCACCTAAGTGGAGAGGTTGTAAATCAAGCAAACGAAGTCAAATATCTGGACGTAACACTGGATAGTAAACTTCTATGGAAAAAACACCTAGAAGCCATTGTTAACAAAGCCAATATGGTGTGTAGACTCTTGGCGGGTAAAAGCTGGGGATGTACACCAAAAATACTGCGGTGGATGTACATTATGATGGTAAAACCCATAATCACATATGAGGCA